AGAGTTGGGGGCCCCAGGGAAACTCAGGGTGGAATTATTCCTCCCGAGTATTGCTCCCCCTCATGCACACGCAATAGGCCTAGCAAGCCCTACCTTCCTTTACTTCAGACCCAAGAGCCTCTCCGTTGGGAGACGCAGCCTGTGGACCTGATTGGGGTGAGCCTCCCAGCTCCCCCAGGCTCCACTGGACACCTCCACCCGCCTGCTGTCTAGAGATACAACCACACAAGCCCCCTCCAAAATTCTGCAATCTAACCACTGCCAGCACCCAACTCATCCACGATTCTGACCTCTACTCGCCCCACCTTGCAGGCAGCCACATGTACTTCACTTTACAACAGAGACCTCCCAGCTGCTGGCCCGTGGTCCCAGTTGAGGCTCACCTCTGATCCCACGCGCCTGCAGCCCCTGACCCTGTCCACTCTGGACCCTTTATCTAGTCATGCCCCCTCCATCCTGGGTCTCCCTAATACCCCTTTCCAGGTATGTGCTTGGGAAACATCTGTATTCTTGGCACAGACAGCTTTCTGGACCCCAAGAAAGAGGGGTTGGCCCTTGTGGGTAGGGAGAAAGCCAAGGTGTCCCTGGGTTCACCTCACTGGGGGCTACGCTATGCTGGGCTGGTGAGTGGACTTCCCTGGACCTGGAGGCTCTGAAGGGTGGGGAGGAGGGGGTCCCCCGGGCGACTGGCAGGGGCGGAGGGGAGGCGCGCTGCCCCAGCCCGTCCCTTTCAGGGGGGACTCATGCATCAAACTTCAATTTTCCGGACGATTGAATTAGTGATTTTTTTTCTCCTGAACTAAAATACACTTAAGTCTTTGGGATTAATTACCACGTTCTGGTCCCTCAGACTGGAGTATTACTTATCGGAGCTGCGTCTGACACCGGCCCGACACCTCGTAAAATAAGGAACTGCGCCTCCCGGCCTCACCGGGCGCCGCCCGCTGGCCCCCAGACTGCGGAGGGCGGAGCGGGGAAAGCCGAGCCGGCCTGAGCGCGCCGTGGGGCCGGCGGGTCCGCCCCGCAGGGTCCCAGGCTGCGAGAGGAGAAAGCGCCCGCATCCCGGACTTGGCCAGCCGGGTCTGGGCCCTGGCTGCAATCGCGAAGGGAGAGACAAAGCCGTGGGCAGCCCTGGGCAGCAGGGCGCTGAGAGTGGGTCTGCAGAGGGGCAGATCCCGGTGGGACGGTGCCTGCAAAGGCTCCAGGGGGCGGTGAAGGAACTCTGGCCACTGGGCGGACGCCCCAGAGTGTCCCAAGCCTTCACGAACTTCGCCCCGAAAATGGGCACAGGGCCCACAGTCCTTCACACGTCCCACGCCACGCTCACAGTACCCCTACACGCGGGGAATAGCCCAGGTAACGCGCACGCCCCGCTCCCACGGAGCGGACACATGCGAAGCACACGCCACGCTCGGCGGCACGCGAGGCAGTCCCGGCGCCGGCGGCTCGCAGATCCAGGGCCGGCACTTGCATTCGAGGCCTACTGGCAGCGCAGGCCCCCGCGGCAGCGAGAGGCGCGCAGCCAGAGCCATCGCCCCGAGCGCCCCGACCCGCGCGGCGTGGCCGCTCCCTCCAGAGCCACAGGCGCCAAGGAGAGGGAGGGCGGCCAGACCCAGGCCTCTGCCGGTCCCAGCCCCTCGCTCCCGCCTACATCAAACTCCCCAGTCCTTTCCTACGGCCACCGCGGCCTCCCTGCGTTCTGGGGCCAGAACACTAGCCCGCAGCTTGGCGCTCAACCGGGCAGGCCGGGCCCTGGGGCTGTCGAGGGGCTCCGGAAGCCCAGCTGCAGCCCGGCGGCGGCCCCGAACCCAGGACCGCCAAACTGCCCGGGGCCGAATCCTCTCTCCAAGCGCGGCGAGAGGGAGCTGCCTCGCGGGCCTGGGGCTCCTCAGGGCGCGGCGCGGCGCGCACCTCTTCACGTTCCCTCGCACGGCGGTGCTGTCGCGCCTCCCGCCCGCCCTTCGTCCCAGCCGCAGAAGCAACGAATTCCTGCGCGCCTTTCAAGGCCGGGGGTCCGTGCCGCCTCCTCCGGGAAGCCCCCACCTCCCCGAGCCGGAGAAGCGCTCTCTCGGCCGTCTGCGAGCGCCCTTCCCCGCCGCACAGCCCAGACCCCGCGCCAGCGCCAGGGCCCGCGGCGTCCCGCCCGCTAGACGGGGCGCTCCTTGAGGACAGGCCCGCGCGCGCCGCGCCCTCGTCGCCGGCCCCCAGCGCGGCCCGGCGCAGCAGAGACGCACAGCACAGATCTGCCGAACTGAATGGATTTCCCTTTATTTTATTAATCCTTCTCCTTCCTTCTGTCCTTCTTTCTTTTTCCTCCTTCCTTCCTCCCTCGTTATTTTTTATTTCTTGGTTATATTCAATTGTCATGTTTTTCAGGCTCATTAAATCCATTTAGAGACAAAAGAATAAAAGGCGGAAGGGGAGGGCGCGGGGGGGGGGGAGGGGAGGGGAGGGAGGCCTGAGAAGCAAACAAATAACCCGCTTTAACTAGACGGGCGGATAAATGGCCCCGTTTCTCCTCAGCCCCGACGCGCCTGCTTAGCTGCGCGCCCCGCGGGCGCCGCGGCTCGGGTGGGCTCGGCCCGCGGGCTGCCGCCCCCAGCCCGAAGGGACCCAGCGGGGCCCGGCCCCGGGCCGCGGAGCGGGGAGCGGCCCGAGGTGCCAGCGCCGCTTCATTGGGATTCATGGGCGTGTTGGGCGGGCGGCCCGGGGCTCCGGGCGCGGGCGGGGGCCGGCGGGGGCGGGGGTGCGCGCGGCGGGCGCAGATGCCCGGGTGACCGCCGCGCCGCGGTCCCTGCGCCGCCTTTGTGCTGGGGAGGCGCGCGCGGGGAACTAATCCATCAAATTGTCTACAAATTGTGAAGAAAATTCAAAAACCATATGGTCGCCAGCGCCGGCGCGCTCTGGGCTGCGGAGGGCCGCGGCCGCGCCCGCACCCGGAGCCGCGGGGGGCTGGGCCCGGCTATTGTCGCCTGTCAGCGGCCGCCCGGGCCCATTCGTCCCGGCCTTCATGGTCCGCGCTCCGAATTACAGACCCATCCATCCTGAGAGGGGGCGATTTCTGTCGCCCGGGAGGAGCCGGCCGCACGCCCGCCCGGACGCCCGGCTGCCCCTCTCCGTCGCTTTCTCCTCTCTCCGCTTCCCCTTCTCTTTCCCTCCCCCTGTTTTCTCTCCCTCCCGCGGCAGCTTCCCGTCCCTCTCTCTCCCGTCCCCTCTCTCGGCCGCTTTCCGTTCCCCGCGCTTCTCGTGGAGCGTCCGTGTTCTCGCCTCTGCTGCTCTGTCCTTAGTTTCCTCCCGGACACGCACGTTCCCGACTCAGGCCCCGGGGCCCCGTCGGCTGCCCAAGACCAGATGCGCGTTTCTCACATCAATTTTGTGGGGAAAGAGCCGAGTGGCCTGGAGGCGGGACCCTGCTCCGGGGACAGCGGCCACTCGCCAGCCCAACGACAACAAAAGCCCAGACACAACCGGTTCAGTCCGGGAAAGTGAAAGCTGCCCCCGGCCCGGCCCTGGCCGCCCTCCGGCCGGGTGGACCCCACAGCGACCTTGCGAGATGGATGTCTCTGCCCCTCGCAGAGTTCAGGGCCCAGCATGTGTGAGTGTTACCAGAAATTCACCACAACTCTCAGCCGCTGCCGGCTCACGCCTCCTTGTACCAGTGCACAAGTCAAACTACCCTTGGTGTTTTGGGGGTCTCTTTTTCCTCCCGACCCTAAGGATGAAGCCCAAAGGGCAGAACCGAAACTTGGGAGCCCACGAGCTCAGCCCTGCTGCCGAGCTGAGCATACCTGGCAGGCACCGGAGGCTGAGCGGGTGTCCCGCCGGGCACTGGAAGAACGCCCTTGGGTCCTGGGGGGAAATGCACCAACACCCGAGCAAGTTTGCACCAACCCACCCTTTGCCCCACACAAATTAATTGTATACCTGTGGCACCCCCAGCGTTCACGGCATTTCTCCTAGCGTTGCTTGCCTCTCTTCTTACCCGGACCTGGCGAAGCCGAATTCTCTCCGGACCCACCCTACTGTTTGGTAGCTGCTGTGAGTCTGTAGGCAAGAAGTGCCTCCTCCCACAGCTCTGCCCTCACCCCTCTTTCTCACAGCTGCCCCAAAACTCCTCTAAACCTTGCAAGACCCGGGCCACCGGGGAGGAGCGAAAAGAGAGACATGGAGCCAGCCGCGGCTTCCCTGAATCAGCCCCACGCATTCAGACACGGTCACCGCTGGTTCTAGTAAAATGGCAAAGACTTTATTTATCGGAGAAAGAGGCCTTGGGTACAATCCGGGAGGGAGAGGGCAGGGCAAGAGCAGGGAGAGGGCACTGGGGACCAACCCTGGTCCGGTCACCCTTGTCTGGCCAAATCGAGCTGGGAGCAGGGCGCTGGAGACTGCAAGACAGACCCGGAGCTTCGGAGGAGGTGGGGTGAGGGCTTAGGTCGGCCTCCTCTCAGTCTCTGTCACATGCAAAAAAATTCTAAAAAGAGTAAAAAATAATTCTAGGACTTTGGGTTCTGTTTTCGTTGGTTGGATTTCCCCCTGCTTTGTCCCTAACACTGGGGCCCCAACGGCCGGTCCAAGGAAACCTAGTGAGGGTGGGGAGGAATCTTAAAAATAGCGTTAGTGAGCATTGGGAGGCAGAAATGGCATCGAAAACAGAGTTCTCTCGAGGAGGGGTGGGAGGAGAGAAAAGATCGATCTGAAACTTGCAAGTCAGGACCCGGCTGCCCCCCTCGGCCCCTTCCCACGCAGGGAAAAAAGGCAGAGGGAAATAAATGAAGTCAACTGCAATAGGCCTAAGGAGGCGAGGAGGAAGCGGCCGGTGCATTCGCCACATGCAGAGAAAAATCAAAACAGTTGGGGCGGCTCCTTCTCCAGACCGCGGGGTTAAGTGTTCGCTCCCCTCCCTTCTGCCTCGCCGCCCGCAGCCCGAGCGCTCCGCTCCGAGAACACGGACAGCTCCGAGATTTTAAAAAAGAAAAGAAAGAGAAAATGTCAGGCTGCGGTGGGAAGAACCCTATATAGAGGTTTAAATATTTATACAGAAGCCATACAGAACTGCACGGCAAGGGCTCGCGCAGCGGCGGAGGCCGCGAGCGGCAGCCGGCCCCGCCGGCCAGCCCGGATTTATTGCTTCGAGAGGGAAGAGGCGGCCGACGAGAGCCGAGTCCCGGCCGGGAGCAGGGGAGAAGGCGGGAGTGACAGAGGAGGTCCCAGCTCCCCTCCGTGGTCTGGTCCGGGAGGCGGCAGGCGCGCCGGCGCTCCGGGCCTGGACTGGTGGCAGCACCCGGGCGCCTCTCAATCGTCCACGTCGATCTCTTCGTCCTCCTCGTCCTCTGAGCAGTCCTGGCTGCTGACCGGCTGGTCAGTGAGCGGGGAGGCGGGTGAGAGCTGCAGGGGCCCGGCGCCCGGGGCCTGCGGGGCGCCAGGGGGGAGCGAGGGCGAGCCAGGCCTCGACTTGGCCCGGCCACAACCGCCGCCCCCGCCGCCCGAGGCCTCCGAGTTCTGCTCGAGTTCGGCCAGAGCCACGATGTCCATCTGCCCGCTGGGGCCCAGTTTCTTGGCGGACTCCACGTCGGCCTTCATCTCCTCCAGGTCTCGCTTGAGCTTGGCGCGCCGGTTCTGGAACCAGGTGATGACCTGAGCGTTGGTGAGGCCCAGCTGCTGCGCGATCTGGTCGCGGTCGGCCGGGGACAGGTACTTCTGGTAGAGGAAGCGCTTCTCCAACTCGTAGATCTGGTGGTTGGTGAAGGCCGTGCGGGACTTTCGCCGCTTCTTAGGGGTCTGCCGCTGCCCAAAGATGGTCATCCCGTCGCGGCCTGCGAGGAAACCACAGCATAGGCTTGCGCTCGGGGCGAGGAGACCCCACCCAGGCTCCAGCTTTCCCCACCCAGGCCCATTCGGCCTTCGGTCGGCCGCGGTTCCCTTCTCCGATTTGATTCGGCCTCCTGAACTAGGCAAACCCCCTTCTCCTGTCTCTCATCTACCGGAAGTCTGTAGGGAAAATTGTTTTGGTCTCTGCTTCCACCCCCACCCACCCGAGAGTTGGTTTGAAAGACCGGAGGTGGCCAGAGCACCCGGGAGACAGCCGGGGATGCCCTGACTGCGGTGTGCACACTGGCTCTAGAAGCCTCCCCAACCACCCCTGCCCCAAGAGTCCCAGTGAAAGGCTCTCTATCCTCTCCCCCCGGAACGGGGCGCCCAGGTCTCTGGGAGCCGGATGGGGTCCCGCGGAGCACCCGGCCGCAGCGGTCTTGGGGGTCTGCCTAGCTCTCCCGGGTCGCCAGAGGTCCTTCGGGAACAGGGTTTGGGTCCTGCCCCACCTCTATGCACTCCCCGCCGCGGCGGCTCGGGCTGGAGGGCCCCGGCTGCCGGCGAGGGAGGTGGCGGCCAGAGGCACCGGACAGGACGCAGGAGGCTCAGGGAGCGGGGCGCCTAGTGCCGGACGCCGAGGAACCCCGCGGCGGCGCCTACCTTCGGCTGCCTGCAGGACGCTGACCTCCAGCCCCTTAAAGGTCTTGCTGGCGAGCTCCTCCAGCGCGCACAGCGGCGAGGTCTGCGAGAGCAGCGCGCGGCCCGCCAGGGGCAAGCCGCCCGGCGCGTGCTTGTCCGCGGCCGCCAGCAGGTGCGCCGCCCCGCACAGCGAGTAACTTCTCCGCACAGACGGCTTGTTGAGGATGTCCTCGATGCTGAACGGCGTCAGAGGCTTGTTGGAGTTGGCGGGCGGCGGCAGGTGGTCCAGCGGGCTGCGCCTCCGCTCCTCCCCTGGCGCCGCCTTGCCATCCTCCTTCGAAGTCATCTCGGCCTCGTTGGGGGGCCCGGCCGGGGCGGCTCGGGCCGCGGGCACCCAGCCCGCGGGCAGCTCGGGCGCCGGGCGGGGAGCAGGCCGCGCCGGGCTGGGCGCGGGCCGCCTAGCGCAGCGGCAGAGGCGGGCAGAGCCGCGCGGGGCCCCGGGAGGAGGGCGCTGGCGCCGGCACCGCCGCCGCCGGGGCTTCCAGCAATCCGGGGCCCGAGCCGGGGCGCGTCGCGCGGGGCTCCAGTTTCGCCAGCCCCGGTGCTATTTAAAGGTGTCAGGTGGCTCCGCCGCGGCTCCTGGCCCCGGGTCCTGGCGGCGGCAGTTGGAGGAGCCGAAGCGAGGGCGCAGATTCCGTACTGCGAGGGGAGGCGGAGAGATGGGGCAATTGACTATTGCTAACAAGTTAGCCCTGATCGAGGAGTAATCAATTATCTGCAGCGGCACTTCGCTCTCGCTTTCTCCTTTCTTCCGCTCTTTCCCTCTCTCTTCTCTCTCTCTCTCTCCCTCCCTCCCTCTCTCTTCCCTCTTCTCTGCTCCCCCCGTCTCTCTCCTTCTCTCCCTCTCCCTGCCCTCTCTTTCACTCTCTGTCTGTCCAATGCAGGCGGCTCTAAGTTGGGAAGCTCATTAATTAGCGGGCCGGGGGTAGGAGGAGCCGGCTGGAATTAGCCTGCCTAATGCGCCTGTCAGTCCGGGCGCTGTGCCGCGCTCGGCCCGAGCTGTTGGTAAATTACATTAGCAGCGCCTTTATTGCACCCGAACCTCGGGCGACGGAAAAGCCGCCGCCCCCACCCCAAAGTGCTCGCCGCGCTCCGGGCGCACCCGCCTCCCGCCGCCGGGCCGGGCTGGCAGCGCTGGCCCGGAGGTCTCCGGCTCTCCGACCCGGATTTGGCGCCCGAGGAGGGCGGCGAGTGCCCAGCTGGGGAGGGACGCAAGCGCCGCGTGGACCAGGTAAGACCTGGAGCTGGGTGAGCCCCGCTGTGCCCGGCGCCGACGTGGCCGAGCGTAGATCCCGGTCCCGGCGCCCCTGCGCCGAGAGCCTCCCGCGCCCTGCTCCCCGCCCGGGACCACGCACCTGGGGAGAGCGAATCGGCAGCGCTCCCAGCCCACCCCGGGCTGACCCGCGGGAGATCTAAGTGGCTCTGCAGCCCTGGGTGAGGCGACACGGGACAGGGGTGGGGGACCCCAAGGGCTGGGGGAGGGGGCCAGTCAGGGGACTCAGCCTTCCCCACGTCGAGAGGCGGAGTAGGGGGCTGGTGACGCCAGGCACCTCTCCCGGCCTGAGCCCGCGATGACAGCCTTACCTCCTCTGGCAATCTTGCACACTCTTTCCTCGGGCCGGCGCAGCCCGCCTGCTGACCGAAGTCCCACCCGGCGGCCGGGCCGGGTGCGGGGGCTCACCGGGCCGGCTCCCGGCCTCCCCCGCTGCGCTCTGCCGGGCCCCGGCCGGGCCCCGCTACCGGCCCCGCCCAGCCCAGTGCCGGGCTGGAGCACAACACCCGGCGACTCCAGCTGTTCCGGATGCGGGGCGGGGGCCCGGTGGGGGCCGGGCCGCGGCGGGGGCTGCACTCCCAGGAACCCGCAGGGAGGCCACACGAGTAAGACTGGGGGCTGGGAACCCTACGACCAGGACTTTGTGTCTATTAGGCAAGCGTTCGTGTGCATAGGTGTTTGAGTGTGTTTATGTTTTTGAACAAGTATATTTGTGCGCGGTGTTCATGTGCATATTTGTGTGGACACAGGTGAACCTGTGAGAATTTAGGCGTGTTTGAGCCTCTGCCCACCTCTCATTTCCATGAGGCACTGCAGGGGGTATTCCCCCCGGGGGGCCTCTTTTCTCTTTTGCTTCCCTCCTCAGGTTTGTGTGGGGCCACTGGCCCCATCATCCTGATTTTCCATTCCTGCACCTGGAGAATGCAGAGGAGGAAGAGGGGTTGGAGGCAAGGGAGGAAGAGCTGTTCCCCTCCCCACACACAGCCTGGCTTTGTTTGTAAACTCCTGGGCAGGCAGTGTGGTCCCGCAGCCTGCGTGGATGAGAGAAGGGCCCAGAAAGGCTGGTGAGGAAGACAGTGGCCCAGCCCAGAGGCTGAATGGGAAGAATAGGACTGCTTGGGCTCCTTGCCACCCCCTACCTGCCCCAGAGAGGGTGAGTGCAGCTGGGCAGAAGGATACCTCCAACATAAAGACCTCTGCGCTTCAGAGATGGTTTCTTTCTCTCTCCTTTAGTTTTTCATTTGGAACGTGGCTTGCAGTTCTCCAGAGTGAGAGGGACAGTGCAGGGAGAAAGGATTCTTGTTTGGGACCCCAGTGGCCGCCCCAGGTCTGTTTGGGAGTGTAGGGAAGAGCTACTCTCCCCCTTCCCCATCTTTGTCCTGCAGTAGCTGGCAGGAAGGACAGGTGCTCAGAGGCGGGAGCGGTGACAATGGGATTCTTAGTTCCCCAGAGCTGCAGAACCATCCCCAAGGCAGGCCTGTCTGAGGCATCAGCACCGCTGGCTTTGGAGCCTTGAGGTGGGGGAGCCTTGGGGTGAGGTGATGCTGGGTCTAGTAGCCATGAGGGCAAAGTGAAGGCACTCCCAGATCAGGGACTGGACACTCTTGAGTCACTATTCTGGGAGCGACACCCTCCTATACTCACGTCTGACACTGGCCTGCCAGGCCAGATTTGAAGGACAACCCTGCTGCTGCCCACCTCAGCCCTTAGGACCAGTGGCGTTCAGGCTGCCAGGAAGGTGAACCATGTGAGGGGGGCAATGGGGTGGAGCGCAGATTGCCTCCACTGGGACCCTGGTTCTTGCACCTTTGGTCTTTGATTGTGAAGTGCCGAAATGGATAGGACATTCCCACACTCATCTGCTATCTTCCCTCTTCCTCCCCACTTCACCAAAGCTTCTTTTCTCTTCCTGCTTGGTACTTGCCACCCAATCAGAGGCTTTGCTTGTTTGCCTAATTGGTTGAACTCCCAGCCAAACAGCTCCAGCTAGCACAGCTGGGGATGCAAGGGGCACATGGTACCACTGGCTGTTTTGTTGTTTAGTTCCTTCACCTCCATAGCCTCATCCAGGCCATCTTCAAAAAGATGCCCATCTGTCTTTTCCCAACCCTAACTCTAGACCCCAGTGTGTGAGCTGGTGGGGTCTTCTGAACTCCTGGGAGCTGGGTACCCCTCCTGCAGAGCAAGGAGCTACATGTTCAGTTTGCAGTCCGATTCCCTCCTTCTCTGGTGAAGCTAGGAGATGCTTGCGGGCAGGGATCTTGACCTAGAGATTCCATCCACCCCAGATCTGCACAGGCCCAGGGGTCACCTGGTACATATTGGTTGCATGAGTTTTTGTGGACCAGGAGTATAATATTTTGCATTGTGGGTGGGGAAGGCTTGGGTCTTGACTGTTCCCCTCAGAGGAGTTTTGGAGATTGTGAGAATTGGAAAGGAGACTACCTGGTGGGTAGCAGGGTGAGGATTGGTGGGAAGGAACCCTGCCGTCACTGTCTGGGGAGCTAACCATTCTACCTAACCCGCTTCCTGGGACTGGATGCTGGGTTGAGAAGACTCTCTAGGGCTTCCCATCCCTTTACCCCAACCCTCACCTCCCTCACCCTTGTCATCTGGGCCAGTAATATCTCCCCTGGAACTAGAAGCAACTAGTCCCTGAAGTCTGCTCTGCCAAGGGAATGCCTATCTTCAGAGCCTGGGCTACACTGTATCCTGACCTCCAGATTTCTGCTTGCTGCCCATACCGCCAGGGTCCAGTTTTATTCCATCCGCAATGGAGGGGGAAGGAATTATTCACCAAAAAAATAAATAAATAAAAAATCTGCTTTCTCCTTAGTTTAGTGAGTATTCCAGACAAAGAGGAGAAAAGGAGTATTGCATGAATTGCTAAAATAAGGGGGCCCTGCAGACACAAACAAAATGAGTTATTCCTTAGCACAGGGGAATAATTTCAGTAAACCCTCAAAGGCTCCACAGGCTCTAATCCAGATTGCTTTGGTAGCCCTATTTGTTTCCAGATTATATGTGTGAGCACCAGCATTGGCCCTCGAATCAGAGTTTCCCTCAGGGGAAAAAAAATTGTGACACTGCTTGCAGTGAGTTAACTTGACCACCAAAGGAGGTCATTTTGCCCCTCAGAGAACCTGGTATTCTGACACCCCATGTGGAATTCAGAGTGTTTCTTCTGCTACAGAAGTAGACTCCGATAGATGTTCTCCTGCCACCCTGGCTGAACCAGCCCTGCTCACTCGGTTTTATATTCTGCCCTGGGCTGTCTTCTGTAGTAACAACAATGACATAGTCATGACAAAAACACCACAAGCCCTTACCATGTGTCCCTCTCCAGGCTAAGAGTTATATTCATTTCATTTATTACTTACAACCCTGTGAAGTAGCTACACCTATCACCCCAATTTTACATATAAAGAGAATGAGACCCAGAGAAGTTAAGTAACTCATACAAAGTCACACAGCCTTGTTTGGAATGATTAGGATTTGCAGACTGGTTTTAATCTGACTCAAAATCTACCCTTAATACTAAAACTATGGGGTTCTTAACTCAAGGCCACCAAGAGCTCTTTTTTTTTTTTAAAGATTTATTTATTTATTCATACAAGAGCTGGGGTGCAGGCCAGAGGTGCAGGGGGTAAGAGGATTCACCAGAGACAGAGTCGGGAGCAAAACAGGCAGATCTACTGAAATACACTGCTGAGGGGAGCAGCAGGCAAGACAGGAGAGGTCTGCTGTGCCATGTGGGTCACCTCGCTGGCCAGGGACTCAACTCATGTGCTACAGTACCTGCAGACAGCTCCGTAGTGTCTAGACTCAATCCCTTGTGCCACCAGGGAGGCACTGCCCAAGAGCTCTCTGAATGGGCTTCAGGGACTCTGAAGATCCCAGAAATTGTGTATAATATTATGTTTGTGAGCCTAAGTGGGTATATTTTTCCAGGGGCAATATTACATAACACAGTGGATTCACAAAAGGGGTTGGAGGTCCAGGAAAGAAAGGTTAAGGCTGGAAGCAGGCTGATGGGGGGGGGGGGCATAGCTGTCTCCCAAGTCCTGGGGAGTAGAAAGCCAGCTCCAAAATTTGGACTGGACTTCAAGTCTGCTCTGGGACCTACTATGCTTCCTCTGGCCAGCTCAGCCCTCAGGACCTCCTCTGGCAAAGGAGGTGGAGGCCATGGCTACCACGATAGGGCGCTTGGTTTGGAGAACACCTCTTCCTGCTTCTCCCCTGCCCACTTCTTTTGTGAACTGAGTTTCTCCAGTGCCTAGTGACAAGGTGGCCCCACCACATGGGCCAACCTCTTCCAGATGCTTCAGTTCAGAAGAGGAAATTGAGAGTCCTTGGAAGTTTGGGGGGCACAGACAGACCACGGATTGACAAAGACAGTTGAGGTGGAGGAGATAGTCCCTGAGAGATGCTCAGGGGTCAGGTGCTACTCTGCAGCCTCCGGAGGAACAGCCTTCTCTTTTCTTGGTCCCAAATCTCTATCCCTTTCCTTTCTGGCACCTCTTGCTCTATTTTCAGTGCTCAGCTTACCTTGTGGAACGTTCCCTGCCCTGTTCAGCTCCTCTTTAGCACATATACCCTTAGAGTCACT